ACGAATTATCAACAAAAAATCTCAGAAAAATTGCCCAAAAAAATTCCTAAATGAAATAGGTTCTCATATAAAATCCTTTACAAAAAATCCTCAAAACATCACAATAAAAATATTATCAGAAAATAGTCCCTAAAAAATTTTTTTTTTTTAAATCAAAATTCTCAAATCCATAAATTTTCAAATAAGTGCTTAAATATAATTCTAAAAATAAAATCAGTAAATAAATTCAATATAAAATGAAAAAATCATCAAAAATAATATTAACAAATATTGTCGACAAAAAATACTATATACAACTAGTTCTCGGCAAAAATCTTACATAAAATTCTATACAGCACCAAATAACAAAAAAAAAAAAAATTAAATAAAAAGCTCTAAAAAAATAAAATAAAAATCAGAACATATTTCAATAACAAAATTCGCGAAAGATTTCTTATATAAATTCTCAAAACATCATTATCAATTAAAAAAAAAAAACGAAATAAAATTATTATTATTAATTTATTAGTATATTATTAATAAAAAATATTAAAAAAATCTCTGAAAATATTCCTACTAGAAACATTCTCAATAAACTAAATTCTATATAAAAAAATTCGTAAAAAATAAAATTCTAAGAAAAAATTCAATAAAAAAATCTAAAAGCAAAAAAATGTCAGAAAAACTTCAATAAATATAACAATAAAAATATATCAAAAGTATCTCAGAAAAACAATTTGTTTTGAAAAAACTCTTCAAAAAAATTCTCGGAAATTTTTTTTTAACTGATAAAAAAAAGTTTTTGTAATAATTCCGATTAAACAATTTGTTAGTTAAATAAAATCACAAACAATTTGTATAAAAAAAAATATTTTTAATAAAGGGAGTTTTAATTAAAATAATAAAAAAAATTTGAAAAAGCTTACCGGCTTCAAGTAACTTAAATTGTATTTATTTATTTGGACCTCAAGCCGACCCACCTTTTCAATTTACAAAATTTTTCAAATAAATAATAAAATAAATCTCCAAAATTTCAATAAAAATAATCTCAACAAAAAAAAGAAATGCAAAAATATCTCCGAAAAACCAACAATAAAAGAAATCTCAGAAAAATCTCCTGACGTATTGCGAATAAAAAATAATAACTTCCCATAAAAATGCATAAATGCAGACTACAATTTGGTGGCAAAAATTAGTATTTTTTAAAATAAAAAAAACAAATAAGAAATAATTAAATATGTGTCTGTTTTATTTATTTATTTATTTATTTTTTTTTATTAAAATTTATGAATGTTGTAGTAAATACAATAAAAGTAGAAATCTCACTAACACTAATGAACAACTAATTTTCAAAACAGTACATTACAGTTACGAACTTCTAAAGTCCATTTGTGATGGTTTGGACAAATTTTTCTAAAATAATATAAGCAAAAGTTAAAAGAAAATGAAATAAGTGTATTAAAATTAAATTTCTTTAAGATACTTAAGCAAGAGAAATATTAAAACTATGACTATGACTGAAAATCTTAAAATAATTTTCTTTTAATATTGCATATTTTTTTTTTTATTAACAAAACTACACCCAAAATGTTTTCCATTTTTGCTAGAAAGTTACAGAGCGCTTCAGAAAAAAAATGAATAGTACGCAATACAAACTTTTGAAAATATTTAAAATTATAGTGAAAAAAGCTAGATAACCTTTTATTCTAATTTTAAAAATTTTTTGATTTAACACAAAAAAAAAAACATGAAATCATTTTGTGAGCAGATTTTACGCCTATTTGAAGTATATATGTCGAGTTTAGTGACATTCAGATTTATGAAGATTTATGACAGTTACAAGCATTTATTTTTTAATTTGAAATTGTTTTTCTTTTTTTTTTACCATATAAAAGTTATCCAAATGAAATTGAAATTTGTCTATGTTTTAGGCTGTTTAAATTAGTTTTCAATTAACTGCTGAAATTAGCAGAAGCTTTTTGCTTTCAGCTGAGTTAAAGCTTCTTCTGAGCTAAAGCTTTCATGAAAGGTAAAGCTTGAAATTTTTTACTCCACACTGAGAAAACGATGTTCTTTGCAAAAAGTTGACTTTTTACAAATAAATGAAAAACGCTAACAATTAAAATTTAAGTTTTAGAATATGAAATTTTGAGATATTTTTTAATTGAAAGAACAGTTTAAAATTTGGCTCTCCTTAAAAGAGAAAAGAGAGAGAGTTGTGCGAAACTTTTTTTTCGAAATTTACAGTTGCAATTTCCTTACCCAATCAACCAAAAGCGATAAATGAAAACGAAATCATTTTAAAGAGTTTTAATTTAAAATTATTGCTAAAATTGCTTAGAAAAAAATTACTCTTTACAATTGCGAAAAGAAAAGTTTTGAAACAATAATTGGAAAATCATTTTAAGTTGAAATATATGTGCGTGTCTATATGTATGGGTTTAATTGAACAAATATGATGTTGTGTTTGACTTGCATGCAATTACGTATTTAGATTTGTATATTTCTTAACTACTGATTTTTTTATATTCAAATTACAAAAAAAAAAAAATATTTTGTAGTTTTTTTACACTTAATTTTTCTTCTCTTTAATGCTTCTTATTGTAGTTTTTTTGTTTGTTATAAAACTTAAATTAAAACATTAAAACTTAGCATTTGCTTGCAACACACTGTCTCACATATACAGATTATTTCAACTTTTAACTTTCATTTTCCACTCTAGATCTATGTAAATATGTATTGTATGTATGTATATTTGAAACAACAAGTTTGTATGTATATAACTGATTTGCCAAAAGCCAGCATTCTATACATTATATTAATGTAGGTATGCAGGTATGTATTTTAGCATTATAGTTTTGTTTTTATTGTAACATTAACAGTTTATTTGTCGAGCTTAAAATCTACAAAATATCAGTTTCTTCTTATTTTTCATTTTTTATTTTCTATTTTAACAAATTGTATTTGTATGTTGTTTGAATTATTACCGTTATTTTATTTTTTATTTTCTGTGAGTGGGTGGCCTGCTCTCGAAATGCCATATCTCTTTATTATTTATTTTTTACAATCTTGAGGGAACGCCGAGATATGCAACACTAGCGTAGATTTTTTAACGGCATATGGTTTCAAAAAATACTTAAAAACAAAAACGAAAAAAAATTGGAAACTTACAGTAAGAAAATAATGTGAGGCCAATAACAAATAAAAAATAAAAAAAATATTTGAGTGGCACTCGGCTAATTAGCCAGCAGAAAAGAAGGATTTTAAGTAAGTGAATAAGAGAATTGAGGAAAAAATATATATATTAAAAAAAAATTAAAATCATATGAATTAAAAAATAATAATAGTTAGAAAGAAAGAAAAAATACATGAGCTCTTGAAAATAAATAAAAATACATATAAATAAAAAATGCAGGGGGGAATAAAGAATCTATTAAAAATAATTATAAAACTTTAAAATTGAATTAAAATACAAGATCAACAAAAAAGTCAAAAATTACAGCAGAGAAAAATAACAAAATAACAAATATTTAAAATTAAAAAATGATATTACAATATTGCATAAAAAAAGATGAAATAAAATTAAAAAAAAAGCTAATAATGAAAAATTAGAACAAAAAAAAAAACAAAATAAGCATATAGAAACTATTAACGGTTATTAAACCCAACAAATTGATTAAAAATGCCAGATTAAACATTACAAATGTGGAAACTAAAATATAAAAAAATTAAAAACAAAAACAAAAATCAAAAAATAAAAATTGAAAAAAACTAGAAACAACAAATACAAATAAAAAATTAAAAATAAAATTAAAAAATCAACAGTTAAAAATTAAAACAATTTAAAAAAATACAGAAGCTATTACAAATTATTACTAAACAAAAAAGATTTAATAAAAATACAAGCTTGGAAAAGTAAAGAAAAAGAAATTGTATATAAAAAAAGAAATTATGAGAAAAAATTTCAATAAAAAGTTAATAATTTTTGCTATCGAACGTTTAAATAAAAAGTAAGTAATTAACCATTTCTTAAATTGTTGCCGCATTCGCACAAATAAATAATCATTATATGCATTTTCAGGCTATTAAAGGCGACTTTGAGCAAACTTTACCGCTTAAGTGTTACATACTTTTAGGCTGTGTCCCTTGATTGAGACTTAATTTGCTGATTTATATACTCACATTCATTTTGCACTTATTTTACTTGTGTATTTATTTATTTATTTATTTATTTACTATTTTTATTTTGCAATTAATTAAACGGCACTTTGCCCATTAAAACTCTGACTTTGTTGAAATTAAAAAAGTATTTGTATAAGCTTGCTCAGCCAGCTCAGTGTTGTTGGTGACTTACATACATAAATAAGTAAATATATATATGTATATTTTTTTAATTTTAACTTTAATCTAAAAAATAACTTAACTAACTACAGTGACATTCATGTAATTTAATTAATGCTTAACTAAATAAAATTAGTTTTAATTAATATTACTTTTAAAATTTAAATTAAGTTTTTATTCCACTGCACCCTCTACTTGCACATACATACGTGTATATATGCACTGTTGCACTGAGCACTGTTTTTGTTTAATTTTTTAGTTTTCCTTTTAATTTATTTAAAACAAATTTGCAATAAATTAAGAACAGTGCATTGACTTATATTTACGATATGACACTTTAATGAATTCTTAATTCACTATTTTCCCGTCCTGCGGCGTCTTTCGAGGCCTCGAACGTTGTTCTTTGTTTCTTTGTTTTTTTGGGTTTTTTTTTTTATTCGCTAGTCTCGAGCGCACCGCATTGTACCGCCGACTCGAACGCTTGGGTTGAGTCTGAGCGCATTAATCTTAACTTAAACTGGGACTGTGATGCTTTTACGCAGTGTTTCATACCTCTAACTGGTTATATGTGGTTGTTTGTTGTGTTGTTATTTTTGCTTGCTAATTCTCTAACCATACGGTGATGTTATTGTTAATTTCAGCTGTTTTTCTTCTTGTTGTAAATTTTTTTCTTTGAAGTATTTTTTTTTTATATATCAACAAAAATTTTATTTAATTTTTTCTGTCTCTTTTTCTACTGGCTTCGTGCATATGCCGTTCTCCTTTCCTCCACTACTCACTTAGATATGATTGCATTAGCCGCATTGTGGCCGTGGCTCATGCCGCTTATACCCAAGCTCTGATGCGTCAGCGTGTGGTGGGTGTGGTGAGTATGATGATGATGATGATGATGACTTGAACCACCAGGGCCCACACTCACACCAGCAGGACTGTTGATTGATGTGTGTTGAGCTTGTTGGTTTGAATGACCAACTGCGCTGCCACCGGCACCGTATAAGCTGCAATTGATGGCGTCCAAGTACTGATTACTCAGCTCTTGTTGCTCTAGCTGTTGTTGCTGTTGTTGTTGTTGCTGCTGTTGTTGTTGGTGATGCTGCTGCTGCTGCTGTTGCTGCTGCAAGAGTAAACGTTGTTGCTGATGCTGCAAATAGCTGGCGTATTTACCATGACGACCGACAGCATGCAGTTGGCTGGTGCTGAGCGCCGAGTCACTGTTGCTGTTGTTGCTGTTCTGGTTGTACATGCCAACGCAATTGGCTTTAAGAAGAGACGGACTGTTGCTGTTGCTATGAGCGCTGCTATTGCTGCTTGTGCTGCGTAAGTATGGCGAGTTGGCGGCAGCTACGGCGGGTGGCAGCATTTGCTCGGCACCAGCACATTGATTATTTGTATTGTTCGTCTTGGTGCTGGTGCTGGTGCTGGTGCTAAAACTGCCGCCAAGATTCTTTTGTGATTGCTGTTGTTGTTGTTGTTGTTGCTGCTGATAATTTCTTAATGTATTTGTTGCTGTTGATGTGCTTACTGAGCCACTGCCGCTACCGCTGCTACTATTGTTGCTATTATTACTACCATTACCACTACCACTACCACTACCGCTATTACAGTGCTGCTGCGCCGCTACACGGGCCGGCTATTGTGGCCAACCACCGGAGATCCGCGGTCGCTTGTGCGCCTGATTCGGTCCATCATAGTCATTCAATTGTTGTTGCTGCTGTTGCTGTTGCGCCTGCTGATGCTGTTGCTGCTGCTGTTGCTGTTGTTGCGCTTGTTGGCTAGCCGTTAGCCGCAGATCGGGCGATGGCACATTGGTGGGGGTGACCGAACCTGTATTGAAAATTATAAAGTCTGTTATTTCATTAGTTTGGGCTGTACAATGAGATGAGGTGGCATGAGGTGGCGCAACAAGGCAAGGCACGGAGTGAGGCGTGAGTTATGTGAGTGATAGCTACATTTAATATATATGTACATATGTATGTGAACAAGTAGTTTCTTTTTTTTTTTTTGGTTTTGGGCCAAGAGCGTTTGAAGTTACACAAGCGCTGCGGTGGATTTGGCTGTTGTTTGGCTGTTTGGCTGGCTGCTTGGCTGGCTGGCGTTGGTTGTTAGTATTCCATGCTCGACTTCTCGCTAAGCGGTACGCATGCGCAACTGACTAACTTCGCTGACTGCTGGTTTTCGTTAGTATTTACAGATTTACAAGCTTACGGTGTTTTGAGAATATGTATATATGTAAGTAAGTTAGTTTTACAAGATTTTTACATGCAATGATTATAACTCTAGAAAATACAACACTCTAACACCAAGAAGTATTTGATTTTAATTTGAAAAATATATTTATCGAATGTAGAAATGTATGTTAAGCAATGAGTGTATGATGAATAAAGTAGATGCAAGTAAATAAACAAATAAAATAATGTCGATCCCGAAAGTACGTTTTATTAATTAAATTTAATTAAATTTTTTGAATTTCATTACTCTGAAATAATTTCGAAAATCATAAAAAATATTCTCGATTGGAAACTTGTTGTATATTAAAGAAAATTCCCATATTGTTTACAGCTCATAAGAACTTCTATACAAATTTCAATTTTTATAAAAAAAAATTTGGATAAATCTTAGAAATTCAAATTGTGAAATTTGATAAAAATCTTAGAAACTCAAATTGAAAATCTTATAAAAAATTAAAAAAAATATATATATTTTTTCGGATCGCAAGAAATTTTTTTCCAACTCAAATCGCCATAAAGAAAATTTAGAGAATTTTTTAATATCATAGGTATACTAATTAAATTGAAATTATCATAAAAAAATTTACAGAAAATTCTGATATTGCTTCCAGCCTGTAAAAACAATTTATTCAGACCGAAATTCCTCAAAATTTTTTTTTAAATAACGGTGATTTCCCCACCCGAACGAAATTTTACTCAGACTGAAATTTAAAAAAAAAATTGGAATTTCGATAAATAATTAATAATAATCGATTTGATTATAAAAACAAATTATAAAAATTAATGTTGTAGGAGTTGTAAATATATTATTAAATAAATAAATAAAAAATGTAAGCATACTTTTGGGCTGGTATTCTGAATGCAAATAAATAAATGAAAATATTGTTGATTTCTTTAACTTTATCATGCGGTGCAGTGATATGTTAAAGCACATCAATTCATAGAAGCATTCAAATAAATATTATGAGCGCTAGAGGTAAGGTAATTTGTATGTATGTGTATGTAATACCCAGTGTAGCATGTTACCCTAGTGAAAGGTACAAAATATTTAGTAATTACAGAAACCCGACACCCGTTGCCGAAAAAAATACATAGATTTGTGTAGACAATGGAGACTAGAAGACACCCCATAACTAACAGTACATTTACAATACATAACTGACTAACATATTTCAATCGGTATGTGAAATGGGTTTCTTCAAAAAGGACTACAAGAAAGAATGAATCAAAGAGTGAGATAATTACAAGTGGATTTGAATACAAAAACCAAAAAAGAAAGAAAACATAAATAATATTTGAAAATATAACAAAATATACCAGAGAAGTAGGAGACCACAAGAGTGATGTGGCACACAGAGGGTGGAAAAATTATGAATTTGTTTTTTTTTTTAATTTTTATTTATGTATGTAAGTTTATGATGTGCGTTATTTATAAAAAAAATATGTATGCATGTATTTATATAAGAGGTATATTTTTTTAATGAGATATGGTATGTATGTATGTATGCATGAACTGTGTGTTTTATATTTGTTGTTGTTTTTTTTTTTTTTTAAATAAAAGTTACTGTTTTGTTGGCCATATTACCGGCAAAATTCCACACTCTAGAATTCGCACCCAGTTGCGAGCGGTATTGATATCCTTCATATTTATCTAGCACTGTTAACGGTAAATTGTTTTTTATTATTATTTTGAATTTGTTTTTCAAAACAATTTTTGCCAACCACGTAATGTAAAGAGAAAGAGAAAAAATAACAACAAATGAAATAGTAACAAAAAGTTTCAATTAAAGGTATGCACATTTATAGAGAGAAACAGATTGAGAGAGAGAGAGAGTGTGCTGACGAGTGTGGGACTGCTAACTAAAATTTTATAGAGACTCTTAACACAATAAGGCTACAGTGAGTAACATTTTGTAGTGATAAAATTTGTTTGAGATTTGAAAAGTTTGAAATTTGTTTAAATTAAAAAATTTTTGTTTTCATCTTAAGGATTTTAATTATTTAAAATTTTCATTTTTTTAATTTTATTTTAAATTATTTCGAGTTTAAATTTTTTTTTAATTTTTATAAATTTTAAACGAACTTTTTTAATTATTCCTTGAATTTTTGAATGTTGTAAATTTTTGTAGTTTTTGCATATTTTCCAAGCGCTTTCAACTTTTTTTCATTCGAATGACGAAATTAATTTTGATTTACAAAGCTTTAATATATTTTAATGAATTTACTATTTGTATTTACTAAATTCTATACTTTTTTCATTTTTTTCGACTTTTTAGTTCGTTGTTCCAAAATAATAATTAATATTTTTTTCATTCTTTTTTAATTTTTTTTTTAATTTTTTTTTTAATATTCACTTTATACACTGTTACTTGTACCCAGATTCTCCGTTAATAAACGACTGCCTAACATATAATAATTGTTTTCAACTCTCTACCCTCCTGCTCACCCTTGCCTTTGGCTATTTTAACCGCCTGAACTTTTCTCCTCACTACGGGCTACCCTAACGACCTTTAATATCACTGTTAATATATTTACTTTGTATGTCTTAGTGTTCGCATACTTTGAATTACTAGTTAAAAGTTAGTAAAAATTTAATTAAGAAAAAAATCTATTTAAAAGTTTACTATTTTTTTCGCTAAAAACTGACATGCTGCCGCAAGAAGAATGCAAATGCGCTCTTAATTTTTTTCTAATATTTTTTTTTAGCAATTATTAGCGGAAATTATTTATTTGAATTAAATGGCAAACACATGTAAATATATATGTAGGCGCACAACAGCATTAAAAAAATAATATTAAAAACAAGAAAAATTGTTACTGAACTGAAAAATTAATTGCTACTCAATTTTATTATAAGAAAAAGTTTATACCATATATAAAATCTATTAATATTAATTATTTTATAAATAATTAAAAATTGTTGTTATTACTTTAAAAAGGCGTATTAAGTAGAATATCTAGCACTAAACTTGCCAAGTTTTGCATACACAACAGAAAAACTAAAGTTTGAAAGTTACAACAAATATAAACGTTTACGTGCTTACCTCCTTGCGTTGGCGTTAGATGCCCACCGGTGGAAGACGGTCTTGAGCCGGGCATCACCATGTGCTGTTGCGGATGACTTAGAACACTCAGATTGGCAGCTTGTTCGGACGCTGATGGGCCGCCACCACTGCCGCCGCCGCCCGCTATCACTGCTGACGCATTCATATTGGCAAGAGAGAGCGCATTGGCTGCTGACACACTGCTCGATGAACCACCGCCACCGCCGCCGCCGCCACCACCACCACTGCCGTTGCTGCCCGCCGAACCGTTGCTATTCTGTTGGTGATGGCAACCGGAGAGATCGCGTGGCGGTGATTGTGGCTCGGATTTGACTCTGATTGAGACGGGCGAGGTGGCAGGTGGTGGTGTGCTATTCGGTACAGCCAAATGTGGCAGTCTGTGAATAAAATATGAAAATTAGTTTAAATTACAATTCATATAAATATTTTCAAGCGCACTCACCCCGTATGCTGTACGAGTCCCTGGTGTGTTGTCCATGGCTGTAAACTCATGACATCGGAGGAACTCATGGAGAAATCTTGCGGTCCAAACGTGTAGCCGGTCATAGTGGGTATTGGCGTTTGCAGCGTCACGACTGGTGTATTGAGTGATGTCTGATTGTGTCGCTGCTAAGCGGGAGGAATGAAAGAAACTTAATTAGTGTTTTTGTTTTTTAAATAATTTTTAATTTTTTTTTTTTGGAAATAATTAAAACATACATCTCCGTAGGCAATCTCATCTGCAGCTGACATATTTTGAGCAAGTGGCGTTGGTAAGACGAGGCGTAGATTGGAAGAGCGTCCATTTTGACCGCCCGGCGACTGTTGTTTGTGTGAAAGGTGATGTGCTACAAAGCGTACAGAAGGAGAGATAGTTACAATTTTTTTGCAAAATAGTTAAATGCATACGAAACGTTAGTTTTGAAATCATTAATAGTTGAAAAGTGACATAACCTAAAATTTTAATATTAATATTAATTTTACTGCCTGGACACGTGTAAAATAAATGGGGAAGTTTAAAGAAAAAAACGTTAACAGTGAAAAGAGTGAAGTGCTCAATTATCAATATTTTCGTTGTTAGTAATTTTTGCAAAATTTTACTGTTATAAGTAGAGTTAAAAGCCAAATGAAAAAGAACGAATAAATTTTAATTATTTTAAAATTAATTAACACATACAGACATACATACAAATGGATGTACTTATCAACAGATATATAGATGCTCGTACATATGTATGTAGGTATGTACAGTCAGTGCTTTCATGCAAAAGTTAGGCGATTCATCAAACCTAATTAATTTGGGTTACAAATGGTTGTTAGTGCGGGTTAAGAGAGAGACATAGATGCATATGTGAACTGTTAGTAGCAGCATGTTAATGAGTATTTTAATGAATGAATATTAGTTTCCTAGAACTTAAGTTTCAATATTTTTCATTGAGCGCCCACCTAAACCCGGACTCGGTCCTGGACTGGGCGAACCACCAAGCGGCGAATGTGAATGTGGATAACCGTTTGACATCTCCAACATGGAACCAGATGGATAAACTGTGATGATTTTGGTGATATTTTCGTTGTTGTTGTTTTCGTTTATAATATATATATATATATATGTATAGTTGTGATGGACATCATAAACACACATACACACGGATAAAATCGTTTTTTTTTTTTGGTTTTTAAATTTTTTTTTTTGGTTGTGGCAAATGAAACGAAAAAAGAGAAAGAGAAAAAAATTTGTTTTGCATTGCTTTAGAGTATAAAACATACAAAAATATACAATAGATAAAAATCTTTTCATTCCATTTTTATTTATGGAAGAAAGTCAAACTAGAAACGGTGCGTGCAGTAAAATGACAACGAAATGAAATCAAATAGAAATTCACATACAACAAATAACAAGAAAAAATAGAAACAAGCACAAAAGTTTAACCAAATTAAGAGATAAATTGAAAAAAAAAAATTTTTTTTGAGAACAAAATGCATAAAATTGTGGATGAAACGTGGTAAAATGATATTAACAAATTAATTTTGATGTAAATGCAATAATGACATAAGCGGAATTTTAAATCTTAGGGCATCAAAAATAAATAAAAAATAAAAAATAAAATTAAGTAAAATAAATTTAATGAAGCAAAAAATTGAATTAAATAAAAAAATTAAATTAAATGAAAATTAGAAGAAAAAAAATAAAAAAATAAGATAAGATAAAGTCACATAAAATAAATTTAGTTATACAAAAAAGTAGATAACATAAAAAAATTAAATTAAATTAAATTTAATATAAAAAAATGAAATAAAATAAAATAAAATAAAATAAAATAAAATAAAATAAAATAAAATAAAATAAAATAAAATAAAATAAAATAAAATAAAATTAAATTAAAAAAAAAAAAATAAAAAAAAAATAAAATTAAAAAAATTAAATAAATAAATAAAAATAAAACAAAAAAAATTAAAACAAAATCAAATGAAATGATGTTAAATAAAATAAATTGAATTAAAATAAAAAATAGATAACAATATAAAATAAAATAAAAATTGAATATAAAATCAAGTTAACCTAAAATATATAAATCAAAATAAAATAAATTGAAATAAATTAAAACTAAAAAAACAAAAAATAAATCAAATGTAATGATGTAAATTAAAATAAATCGAATTGAAATTAAATAAAAAAAAATAGAATATAAAACAAAGTTTAAAAGAAATAAAATTAACCTAAAATTTATAAAATAAAACAAATTAAAATAAAAATATATAGTAATTTTAAATAAAATAAAAAAATAATTAAAACAAAAAAAAATAAAAAAAAACCAACTGTAATAATGTAAAATGAAATAAATCGAATTGAAATTAAATAAAAAAAATAGAAAATAAAATAAAATATTCAATATACGAAAGATAGGTTTATGGACCGCAAATTTGGTGTTGAGCTTCTGGGGGGGGAGAGATTTTGACGCCGTGAACTATTATCCACCTCCGTAGGTCATCCGCATCAAATCGAAGTTCTTAAACATAAAGCGCCTAGAACGCTCTTATGAGCGATGACTCAACCACGAAATAAAAATATTGTTTAGTGAGATCAATGCCAGTATAGATAAAGAAAATAAAAAAGGTTTATTAAATAAAACAAGTTAAAATAAAATAAAATAAAAAATAGAATATATAATAAATTTTATAAGAAACCAAATTAACCTAAAATATATAAAAAAAAAAATAAATTAAAATATATTGAAATATAGTTAATTAAAATAAAATAAAATAAAATAAATTAAAGCTAAAAAAAAAACAAATGAAATGATGCAAAATAAATTAAATTGAATTAAAATAAAATCAAGTAAAAAAATAGAAAACAAAATAAAATAAAAAAATAGAATATAAAATAAAGTTTAAAAGAAATGAAATTAACCTAAACTATATAAAATAAAACAAATTAAAATAAAATAAAATATACTAAAAATATAATTAAATTAAAAAAAAAAAAATAAAAAAAAAATAAAATTAAAAAAATTAAATAAATAAATAAAAATAAAACAAAAAAAATTAAAACAAAATCAAATGAAATGATGTTAAATAAAATAAATTGAATTAAAATAAAAAATAGATAACAANAAAATAATATAAAATAAAATAAAATAAAATTTAATGAAAAACTAAAATTTGAAAAAATAAAATAAATGAAGAGGAAAATTTAATCAAAATATATAATTAAAAACCCAGCATTGAAAATTAAGGAATTATTTTTTATTAATTAGAACTGAAAGAAGTTAGATTAGAATCACTAAAGCAGTTTTCTTAACTTGGCAGCATTGAATCGAGGGAAGATTTTCATGAAACGTAACTCAGCACACAAACTAATAATTTCATGAAATCGATTTCGTTCGAAAAGTGTTAAGGTAAGCACCTTTTTTTTAGTTTTATTTTTAATCGATGCAAGGCATACTAAATTTTAAAAATAATTTAATAACAACATTTCAACTTTATCAAAAACTATAATGTTGAATATTTGATAAGTGTGTTTTAGTATTTCTAGAAATATTACAGAGCGATATTTGCTTGAGTACAAAGTGGTAAATAGTGCCAAAATTGAACAAAATATATTAATATGTGTAAATTTCAAAAGAAACTGCTAAAGGAATTGACTAAGCCAAGTATGTGGAGAAATAGTGCTAAAATGAGGCTAATTTGAAATCAAAAAAAATTGTGTTAACAAAAATGAGTCAATTTGAAATCAAATTAAAAATTAATACTAAAATAAAAAAAGAAGAAATAAGAATATACAATCATGCAAACAACAAACAAACTACTTTTGTGCCTCAAAAAATAATAATGAAAAGAAAAACAAAAACATTTAAACATTTGAACAAACATTCCAAACAAAGAAACATTGGAAATAATTAAATGTAAAAACAAAAAACTCAGTAAAAAACACAGAAATAATCCAATAAAAAACAAACAAATTTTCCAATATAAACAAACTGAACTCGAACATAACAAAATGTGAAAAGAAGAAAATGTGGTGTGTGCGCCGCGACACTACTCCTGTACTAACTTATTAAGGACATCCCACCTGAGTCGGTCTCTGAGCTTGACGGCCGTGGGCTTATGTTTGTGTGGGACATTTGTGGACTCGCCTGCAGCATGGCATCACCATATGCGCCCGGTACCGGCACCGAAACTGGCAATGTGTAATTCGTATTGCCAAGATTTCGGCCGGATGCGCTAGCGCCGGCCATTTGAGTGCGTTGAATCATCAATTGAAAGTCTTCGTCGATTTTATTGTATTTGGCTTCAGTGCGGGGTGTTAGTGTGAAATCGGCCTCCTGTTCGGGTGAGTCTGGTGACATGACACCGTTTTTATTCTCTTTCTGTAAATAAGAAATGAAATGAAATTGATTTAAGACAAATTTAATTGCAAACTTTTGTATTTTTCAAACAATATTTTAATTCAATTGACGATAAAAACAAAATAGATCGAGCTTCTTGCCTACTCCTGTGTGATTTCACTTGCATTAATAAAGTATTTTCAACTTTATGAGATATTTTTGATTTTCAAAAATATTTCAATTTATTTCGTTTTAATTAGTTTCTATTTTGGTATATTTTAAACTTCATTTACTTAATTTTTTTTTTTAATTTTTTATATCTGATCTCGAAATTGTTTTATTTTATTTTAATAAAATTGATTGGGAAGTTTTTTTTTAAACTGAATTAAAATTTATTTTTAATTTAATAGAAACTTATTTATTATATTATTTGTATTTTCATTTTGTAAAATTTTTTTATTAGTTTATTTTAGTTCGTTATATTTTACTTATATTAATTCAATTTTAATTTAGTTTTATCTCACCTCGTCTCGTGTCATTGAAGCTGATTGAATTTAGTTTTTTATACATAATATAAAATACATATTTATAAAATAAAATATTATATTAATTCGCTTTATTTTACTTTATTTTATTTTATTAAATACTAATTTATTCAATTTTTTTAATTTAAATTTATTTTATTTTGTTTGTTTTCTTGTGTTTTGTTTTATTTGATTGTATTTTATTTCAATTTAATTTAATTTTATTTTATTTCATTTCATTTTATTTTAATTAAGTTTATTTTGCTTTATTTATTTTTATTCTGTTTTCTTTTACTTTGTTTTATTTTATTTATGATATATTTTCTGTAGTTTTGTTTTATTATATTATATTATATTATACGATACTAAATATATTGTTTTATATAATAATTTTATTTATTTAATTTAATTAAATTTTTTTTTACCTCAGGCGTACAACTTTGCTTCCGCCGTTTTTTCCAAAATTAAAAGCTTTATTGCGAAAAAGTGCTTACAGATATATTATTCAAAGTATTGTACTTCGCTAGCGACAACTTTCTCCCATCTTTCCGGCAATTTTCGGATCCCGGCTCGAAAAAAGGAGTCCTCTTTTGACGCTATCCATGAAGCAATCCATTTTTCCAATTCTTCGAAGGATTGAAAATGTTGATCTGCCAGGCCGTGTGCCATCGAACGGAATAGGTGGAAGTCAGAAGGGGCGACATCTGGGGAATACGGCGGGTGGGGCAAGACTTCCCATTTCAGCGTTTCCAGGTACTTTTTGACCACTTTTGCTCGATGTCCCTCGGTTTCAACTCGTACGGCACCCAGTTTCCTTCTTTCTGAATCATGCCCAGGGCCTTGAGACGTTTTGAAATGGCTTGCTGACTCACTCCCAACGATTCGGCAAGCTGTTCTTGGGTTTGGCACGAATCTTCATCAAGCAATGCTTCTAGTTGTTCATCTTTGAAGGTTTTTTCTCTTCCACCACCATGTTTGTCTTCGACATCGAAATCACCATTTTTAAAACGTTGAAACCACTCCCGACACGTTCTTTCACTCAGAGCAGCATCACCGTAAGTTTCTGAGAGCATACGATGCGCTTCAGCTGCTTTTTTTTTCGAATTGTAACAGAAAAGTAAAACTTCCCGCAAATGGCGAGAATTAGGCACATAAACGGACATTTTCGAGCGTGAATAATACGAAAACAAGAACAACTGTCAATGAAACGGCGATGAAAATTCGTTAGCCACTGTCCACACTCACTTTAAAGGCATTATCATCTATGTATTTCAACCAGCCACAGCCGGTACAGCCACCTATCGGAAAACGGCGGAAGCAAAGTTGTACACCTGATAATTTTATGTTATGTTATTTTAACTAATTTTATTTTACTTTATTTTTATTTTATTTTGCTTTATTTGATTTTATTTTATTTTTTCAATTTTTTTATTTTATTTAATAAGAACTTTATTAAAAAACGTTCTCCTACGATGTGCGATTTGTGTCGAAGAACCAGCGTATTCACCCTCCTCAGCAGTTCAACCACTGTGCGTATATATGTCAAACCGAGTTAATTTCAAGTTTGTTGAATATATAATTATGTAAATATGGGAAAAATTAACATTATAAAAATTAGAGAAAAAAAAAGAATGAAAAATCAGTATGGAAATGTGTAAAAACAAAACTGCCATCTGAACTCCAAAATGTGCAACAGAACAAAGTGAGTTCACATTGAGTCGTCTTTCAGATAGCAAATCGCTGACAATAATGTAAATAACCACGAACTCAGGTGTTACTCAGGCAGACGCTTTGAGCACAAGAGTGAAAAGTAATGAATTATGTAAGTAACGAAATTCATAAACGGGGTTTTACGTTTAAACATTGAAATTGTTCACTAAGAACAAGTAGAAAAATATACATATTATATATGCAAAAGAGACGCGTCGGCAGCAAAAATGCCAAAATTTACACACAATTTAATTTGAATAATTTTTATCATCAACAGGGCGCTGAAGCTTTTACCCAATGTATATGTATATGTAAGCGACAATGTGGCGTTAATTATCTCTCTATGTTTTTTAAAATCTACCAGGCAAACATTTTTCATCCTAAGTATATATAATAGAATTTTTTTTATACATATATAATAAACTAACTGCCTAATTTTTGTGTGCCACTGAACTGAATAAACAGCAGTTATTCAGCAACAGAAATATAAAAACTAATTTTTTTAAGTTATTTTATGGGTGGAAAATAATCTGATCTAATAACAACCATATATTGTATATATTTTTTAAAATTTCTTATTTTAGTTTTTTTTTTCATTTCATTCTCAAAGCCTCCACAATTACTACCTTTCTTCGTACTTACCTCAATTATATTTTTGTTCGTCAGCGATTCGTGTGGCTCATTATATTCGGTATATTTTAACAGGACCTTATCCATATCAGTGCTGGCATATTGATATAATTTATTACTGGATGAGAATATGATGAGCGCAATTTCGCAATCACACAAAACCGATAATTCGTAGGCTTTCTTCATGACGCCAAATTTGCGTTTATTAAAGGTAACCTGTAGACAAGAGAGAAGAGATTATAGTTAATAACTTTTTAAAAATTAAATTAAAATCAAAAATTAAAAAAAGGAAAATTACTTAATTTTTTTTTTAACAAAAATGATTAATTTAATAAAAGAACACTGCGAGGGAGAAAAAAGTTTACAATAGTTATAAAAAAATTGTTAAAAAATTCTCCAATTTTATGAAAATATAAAATTTACACAACAAAGAGAAGAAAGGATGTATGTAAAGCTAAGCTCTACGTCTTTAAGACTGAATTTTGCATTCCTCCCCCCCATTTTCCATGTTTCCATGTATATATGTATGTACGTATATAAGTACTTCCATATCCTTGAATGCGGTCTGCTGTAATAGCAAAATACATACTAATATTCATTTATACACGTACATATATTAACATTGTATTGGAGACACAGCCCAGCCTTGGTTTCCAATTAATCGATTTTTATGGGACACTTTACGAAAGTTCAATACGCAAGGATTGTGTGCAAGAAATAATGCAAAACAATGCCTAGGACAATAGCAACTCTATATATTGACTAGTGTACGTATGCACATGCACTGTTACTATATACGCTGGTACAATTGTATATGTATATATATAATATATAATTGACGCTTTGTAACCGTTCGGCCGAGCTCTTCTTCCAATTTGTACTAAGCCTTTATTTCATGTCCAAAATACACTCGCAGGGGTGGTCATTCCCTGCCGAAGGGGCGACCGCAATTAGAGAATTTAATTAAATTTTATATTTAAATTAATTTTCTATAACTTTTTGGATGCAAGTACGACACCAGGATTTGAATTCGAGCCTTCTGAATAGCAGTACGTAATGCTAACCACTCGGTTATCGCGGTCGCAGTACAATTGCATAGTGCCAACTTTTATGGGGCGCGCGTAAATACAAATGGCTTGGAGGACTAAGCACATATGATCCGTTGCACCAGCTGCTGGATCTGATATTGAGTAGCTAGCTGCTTGCTTGCTACATTACAATATGATTAGGAGGAGTATTCAGTCAATAAAATGTCCTTTGCACAAATGTTATGTTGTTGATTGGGCATTTGTTAAAGAACGAAACGCAGATAAATAAAGTAGGGAGATTCCTCAGATAAAAAAAACATTAATTAATAATGGATGATGATTGCATACTATTGGCAAGACAAAAAAAAACGTTTAAAGAGATATGAAAACTAGAGATTAAATAGTTCAACGGTGCGTATACGTAACCGTCTTAATTTTTCTTGTAAAAATTGTACTCAGATTAAGCTCTATTAATTTTGTTTGGAGTTACTTTGTCGCTATAAAAGTGTATATAAAAGAAGTGGATACTCAGGATTTTTTCCTGAAATGATTGGTTCTGAAAAAAAGTTAAAAAAATGAAAAAAAAATATTTTTTTCCAAAGTCAAGAGGATTCGAATTCTCAAAAGGGTATCAATCGGCCGGTCAGAAATATATACTTTATTTTTTTCCAATCATTTGAAATATAACCTTAAAGTTATTAATTTTGTTTTAACAACTTAAAGCAAAAGATTCAGTAGAAAATAGAATATACTTCATTTGGACGAAAGTCTAGTTTATTTACAATACCAGATTTTTTAGGTCGACCAGGAAATCATCTTTGACCTGAAGAACGTCGTTTTCGAGCATCTCTTTGAAAGATTCTTCAATTAGAACATAAATGCATTTATTCCAAAATTCTATTTGTTTTTTATATTGCTTTTGAGGAAATTAATGAATACCCTAATGTGCACAATGAAGCTTGCACATGCAAAGATATCCTCTATCAATAGTGAAATTGCAATGTGGCTACTGTCAGCGGCATACTTGCAGCTCGTTTGCAATTTAATTGCAATTTATTGTTTTCTTATTAGTTGATAATTAAATTAAAGGAGGCGAATTAGCTGCCGAGGCGGTAGGGGAAAGAACGATAAAGGGTTACCAAATGAATAGCTAGAGCATATTCAAATTAATTTACTTTTATTTAACTTTAATTCAAATAAATTCTATAAATTTTATTTTATTTTATTTTAATTTAATTATATTTTAATTAATTTAATTTAATTTTTTTTTATATATTTTCGTTTATTTTATGTTATTTTGTCTTAAAAAAAATGATGGTGTTAAATAAATATTATTTTCATTGAAAACAGTAACAAGTAATATAATTTTTCTTTAAATGCATGTAACATTCAGTTAAATAAATAAATTTCCACTCACCTGCCGATTCCGCTCATCGGTAATCCGTGATATTTGTATCTTTTTCCTACCCATTTTGTGCTTGGTTTTGTATCACTTTATCGCTTTTGCAATGCCTGCAGCTAACAAATCAACTGAATTTCCAATATATGTATGTACGCAGATGTAAGTAGTTTGCTTGTATGTGGTTTATTTATTCTCCTCAACTTGAAGTTTCCTTCTTCTCTTTAGTTTACCACTATTTGTGCACTTTGAACGCACTTGAGTTAAATTTTTATGCGCGTCTTTATGTTTTCTGCTTATTTTTTGTATTTACTTACAAAAAAAAATATGTATATGTGGTGCTTAAAAGCTTCACAGCATACGAAGAAATGTCAATTAAGCTTACGCAAGGCTGGTGATTTAGCTTTCGCTAATGGACGGTTATGCAGTTGTTCTTGTTGCAGTTGATTTTGTTTTTGTTTTAATTGAGTATGGCTTGGACAAATACACAACTTTTATATTTTTTTTTAAACAGGTAGCGCAGTTTAATAGAAAATTCTGTGGAGAAAAGATAAAAATTGAGAAAAATTAATATTACATAACATTTTTCAGCATTATAAATACCTTATTAATAAATGAAATAAAAATCATTTCCTTAAGGAAGGCAAACTATTGCTACCGTCTTATTTAAAATTCATGTTGGCAATTGTTACTTTATTTTATGTTTTAATCTAGCATTTTTGGATAAATTAATAATAAACTTTTTTTAGTTTTTCAAAATTTGTTAACATATTTTTAACAAATCTAAATAAATGAGAGTTTCAGGCTTAATAAAATTATATAAAAAAAAACGGTTGGCTTCTCCAAAAGTTAGACTTGTAATTAATAATTATAAAATATAAATACAAAAAATAATAGCAATTATATATCCAGAATTGTTAAGAATGGTATTAAATAAATAGAAAGAAATAGGCTTCCAGAAAATAAAAGTAGAGTTACTTTCTGACTGACGTATTTATTGTGCAACGGGTGGTATGAGTAACTTTTTGACTTGTAAGAAACATTTTTTTGTTTTCTGCTGAATTATAAATCTTATAAAAATTAATACTTTTTATTTCTTTGCAAATGCAGAAAGCGATTCCAAGCTTATTTAATTTACAAATGTCGGGGCGTATGAGCAACTTTTTAATGTTGTTGAAAATCTCACTTTTTCCTATAATCTTAAATATTACCAAAATTATAATATTTTCACCTTTCTAAACTCGTTATAATTATTTTTCAATAAATTGTTAATAATGATTAGAGATTTTGCCCAAAAAAATAACTGCCCAAAATAAAAAGACCGGCCAAAGTTATTTGTAATAAAAATTTAATATTTTGAAAAGCTTAATATACATATTTTAAATGTTAATATTCTCACACTTTCAGCACAAAAATAATAAATAAAAATAATAGAATTGTAATTCTAGACTTTCAAAAGAAAATATGACGATTAGCTAATTTATTGTACCTAATTGTGCCAGGGCGTATGAGTATCTTTTTTATATGTAATAGGAAAATCTATATTTAGCGCTAAGCCAAAAACGATTGAGCACTGAATTTTTTCTATGCATAAGCAAAAATTTTGAAACTCCATCTTTCAAAACTCGCACTGCTCACAGAAATTTAAATCTCAAAAGTCTGCTTTTAAACAGAAAACCCAGAAAAAAATCAGTAGCACCATTAATTAAAGTTTTCGTGAAATCAGCGCAGCTGAAAAATGCGCCGTTCATACCGTGATTCAGCACGCTAGATTGACTTGAGTAGGAGAAGCAGGAAATAATTTTAAATTAGGACAAAATCAATCAATCGGAAAATCATTTACACCAACTGTACATACATCGGTAAAACTTCAAAGAGTTGCCTCGAAAACCAGTTAGTGGGAAAGAAAAATTGCTGATAAGGAAGTAAAGACATTAATTAACCTAAATATGTATACATAATAATACATATAATCAATAACAAGCGAGAGCTTAGAATACATTTTTAAAGCCAAACACTTATACAAATGTCCATACGTCGCTTTTAACGGTTAATTGCCACAAACTAGAATTTTAAATTTTATTAAATATTTAAATAGGCTATTAGCACTTAACAACAAATTTAATGTTCCGAGGCATTATGAAATGTTTGGCATAACAAAGGCAAGAAAATAAGTAGTAAAAATATAAATTTAAAAACGTAGTGAAAAAAGAAGGAGAAGAAGAAGCAGCAGCTGCAGCAGCAAGAGAATGCGTTTTTCACTTTTTCCTTTTATTTCTTTTCTCGCAACCAACCGTACGAACAATTGTTATTATTGTTATTTGCTGAGCTGTCAGCAACACGTAACACTTAATAAAAAGCACAAACAGGCAAAAACAACAAACAACAACAATAAACAGCTTTTAGTTGCCTCGCTACTGTTGCTGCTGCCGCCGCTCGTCGGGCATGGCGTAAATCCAACCACTCAGGTAGCAAAAGCCTTCCACTTGAATGGCCATAGGCATGTTCATACAAACATACATACAAATATAAATATATTTAACACACGTTTGCATGCACAGACAGCCGCTTCCTTCACTGATATAATCCTATTGCACAAACATATCACAATAATTCAACCCAACCTACCGTTAAACGCTGTGCTTTGCGTCACGCAACAGCAAAGAACGAAGAATAAAAAAATGAAAAAAAAAAAAAAATATGATAAAATCAAACAAAAAGCAAAGCAACCCCAAGCACCAGTCATTGCCTGACAAGCAGAAAGCGAAAGCATGGTGGGAGGGTTAAATTGTGGCAGAAAATACGTCAAAAGAAGCAATTGATAGTGTTGTTGCTATTGTACAATGTCTTTGAGTTGCACAAGTCAAGGGAAAATCCAGATACAACACACTCGTCTATACCAACGGCAGGCATTTTGCCACCATTCCGCTCTTGTTGTGTTATTTTCACTTGATTATTATTATTATTTTTTTTTTTTGTAGAAAGGATGTGGAAAACAAACAAATCGCGGAGAAAAAGTAAAAAGAGAGAAAAAAAAAATTAATGAAAATTTCTCAAGAAAATTGTGTGTAAAGAGAGAACAAGGAATTAATGTGCTCTGCCTAAGGCCGTCGTCACACACTCAATGGCTGCTCCCGCTAAGTAAATGTGTAAAATGTTGCTCATACGCGGTGTACGCTCCTACGGCTATAACTAAAGGCGGCAGTCATCACTGTGTGGCGCATAGCTAAGCTTAAGAGGTTGCGAAAAAGACACAGTTGAGTTAATTGCAAGACACTTCCGAAGTGGCTAAGAAGCAGGAACATTTAGAAAAAGCGAAAATTCTGGGGAAGACATAATTTTTGGCATATTTATATGAGATGTTTTATCAAAAAATTCATATATTATATATCAATTGTTGGAAAGTTTACAATAAAACTGAAAAGGTAAAAGTTTCGAGCTTTTATTTTATTATTCTAACTTTCAAGAGCGTATTTGAAGGTTTCCACTGTTTTGAGGTTTTCGATTAAATAAAATATGATGAAAAACTCAGAATAAAGGAAGAAATTAAGATGCTGCAGACGGTTTAAACTACCACAATTAATTTAATTTATTTTGAGAACGAAATTCTTTACAACAGGTTAAGCAGGTTGCCACTTTGTTGAAATAATACAATACATAGGAATTTACCAATAAGAAAAACCCCCTAAATGGGTTGCCAACTATTTAAATATTTGTTTTTTAAATGACTAATTTTTACAAATTATCGCAAGATGGTTAATTTGTTTAAAATTGCCTAATTTAAGGAGTTACTGCAAATTGTCTAACAGAATTGCCACCTATTTTGATAAAATGACTAGTTTTAAGGAACTTTTAGACAGAGATGACATTGAAATATTATATTATGAAATATGGCTGACTGGGTTGCCACCTATGATGTACATAATAAATGATTTTAACGATTTTTGGTAATTTAACTCACAGAGTTGCCAACTATTTTTATAATATGACTAATTTACACAAATTGCGATAATACGGCTGGCCAGAGTTGGCACAAGGTTCCAACAGAATGGCTTATTTCAACTTTTGATACTATGGCAGACTACTATTGCCACCTTCTTAAGATGTCTAGCTATAATCAACTACTTAAACAGCTAGATTACTAGAAATATGTTTTTTATGGCATTGGCTGTTAAACAAAAAAAAAAGATTTATTATTATTTTTTATTGGAAATTTGTTATTTTATCCTATGCATTACATGTATGCTTATGCAAGTATATTTTTTATTGTTATTATATTTTATTTTTTTATTTTTTTAAATTTTTTTTATTTTTTATTTTTTATTTTTTTGCATTTGTCAATTCTCCATTTTTTCTGTTTCCCGAACATAAAAAGTCTTTTAATGCTTTCTTAGGTCGCAAAAACAAGCGATTATTTCTATTTATCGCTTACACTAGCGGCCAAACCAACATACACACACAAGCACTGGCATTGCTTACAATCGAGTCTTGCCACTGCCACTGTCATCAAGTCTACCAACTGCAGACCATCATAAGTATAACAGTAGAAAAGTGAAAGTGTAGTTTATAGAGCGTACACGCATATATACATACATACAAAGTAAATATGAAAATGAAAAAAGAAACCGAGTGCTGTTTAAAGGAGATACGAAACCGAAGGCAAAGAATGGCGTAATAAATTATAAGCGCGTATGTACAGTATATGTGTGTATGTCAGTATGTATATGCGCAAATGGTAGGGTAAATTAAAATTCATTTATGTACTTCCGGTGCTGGTTACCAACTGTTAAATACACTTTAATTACATTTTCTGTACTACTACTACAACAACAACAGCTACACTAACACTAAGGAACAAAGTAAACGCTTGAAAAGGTTCGAATGCCGCACGTGCCGCACAGCAAATATTTGTACAACTCAACATTCAGGAAAATACACATACATATATATATACATATGTACATGTACATGCATATGTAAATATTACCACTGCTAGAAAGGAAAAACAACAACATAAGTACATTTGGCGATTATTTGATTGTTTTAGTAATAAATCATGGCTTTTCCATGGAAAATTTTAAAAACATTTTTGTTGTTGTTGATGTTTAAAAAAATGTCATAAATGTCGACATTTACGGTGCTCAACCCTTGCCAGCCAGTAAAGACGAAGAGTTCTTTCTCAACAGTCCTTTCTGCTTCTATGAGGTGGCGCTATGAAATCATAGTGCAGCGTAGGAGATCCCAAAAACCACGAAGGCAAAAGAAAACGAAATTTATGAGTCGAGCTAATGTCGACACTTCAAGGAAACAACAACCAAAGAGAACAGAACAGGTGCAAATGCAAACGTGGGGGGTAGAAGGAACGGCTGTATGCAGCGTAAAACCACGGTTGGGGGGTCAAAAGCCAAACGCCCGCCTTTCAAGGTGAAGGTTAGTTGACCGTGACTTTGTGCGTTCTCATTTCCTTCCTTTTACGTTTTCTTTTTTTTTTGTTTTTACATTGTTCTTACATCAGAGAGTGGGAGAGTGGGAGAGTG